CATCAATGCAGCTGCTTAATTCATGAGTGTAGACTTTAAATACTCTACTTGGTAGCACACTACTAGAGTAAAGGGGGATTGACAGGCAGATACAGGAGCATCAAATATATTACAAAACTTCCCCTGTCATATATCACAGCACATCATAGCCTGTAACAAAAACCACTGTCTTCATGACAGCGCTACCACATACTTTATATTCCAGGGTATAATAAAAAGACTAAGGTTGGACTTACCTACAAGGAAATCTGATATTGCCAAATTCAGGAAGTAGTAATTGCATTGTGTTCTCAAACTCTTGTCCACTTTAAAGGCCAAAATGACCAAGGCGTTGCCCAACACTATCACAACGACCAAAGTCACCATCATCACCATCAAAATGACAAAAACGGGTCCTGAAGGCACGAAGCTGCTCTGGACTCTAGTTGAGGTGTTGTCAAAATAGTACCGACTAGAGTTGGAATCAGCTTGTTCCTCCGACATGGTCCTGATGTGATGATCAACGATGCTCCCGTTATATCCTCAAACGACACAGAGCGGGAAATAATAAGCCAGCAACAGGTGGCAGGCGAAGGGACTCTGCATTCAACACCCCCATGCATGCTCTAAAAGCTTCGCTTTCCTGTTCAGACGGAGCACAGTGCGCAGGGAAATCCACGAGAGAGCGCACAGCGCCTTTCTCAAAACGCTGCCTGGACACTTGATGGATTACGCGTTTGCCAGCAGTGACGCCTCGCTGTAGAGACATTATTAAGGCAAATAATTGCTTTTGTCATCGCACATTGTATGTAATGACTTTAAAGTAATATCGCGATCCGTACAGTCGATATGGTGAAGTGGCACGGTGAGGTTTAGAGACGCCACAGAATAGTTTGGTTCTCTTATCTAATGGGGAACTAACAGGAATTGCCGAATCCAAGAAATCGTGTGTTATTACTCCAGCAGCATATTGCAATTTGTTCAACGGAAATAGTTTGTTTACGCTCATGATGAAACCTGAAAGCTATTTTTGCATTGTATAAACTGAGAGTGGCACTTTTAGGTAATTCTACTGACGTCAAAGATCCTTTTCTTGCTCTCTCCCTACCCCCCCCCCCCCCCATATGCTGTGGATCACCAGCATTTGGTAAACTGAGTCTAGTACCAAATCATTCATAGAAACTTCCTGTTTGACTCACAGCCTATTAACTGTCTGTTGTTGCCTCAAATGACCATGCCATGGGTGTGCAGAGGATGTGGACATGGAAAACCATGGCACAATCAAACTGATGCCCCTTACCGAATCCCACACTGGACAGGGTATTAAGAACATCACCTTACATTACTAACTGTATGAACAAACAATGAAACGTGCATATTACTCTTTGTATTTTATTTGTTCTTTATTGGCATATTGGGGCAGCTTCCATTGTCTGTGGAAATTGTTGAGGACTTTTGTATTCATCAATATTCACACTTTTGACATTCTACGACAGCTTTAGGTTGTACATATTTTGTTAGAGACGTTTCCCTCCAAATAAATCTCATATATTCTCCTTTTCCCTCCCATCCTGCCACCAGCCAGCACCTTCAATCTGAATGACAAGAAAATGCGGTGCGAGCCAGCAACAGTCTGATAGCCAGAAGCGAGTGGAAGGCACACAGGTCTCTCACTGAAGCTCAAATCAATAGGCCTTGTGAGATTAACAGTTTTACCAGACACAGTTAAATAGTAAGCATTCTCGCCAGTAGCAACTAAAAAAAAAACTCCAGTATATTGCATGCATCTGTTTAGATACTTGTGGGTGTAAAACCTCCCAGGAGCACACAGTGGAGGAAGCTGTACGCCTTATTTGCATTCAGATACTATCCTGTCAGTCCCACAGCTGGGGTCCAAGAGAAATGAGAAACACTACAGAACAGTAGAAGTGACTGAAGGAGCCCAGCTTGAATTACTGTTATTTTCCCACAAATGGAGCCACCGCCATCTCTCAGTGTTAGTCACGTCACAGTTGCAACACAGGAACCAGTGCAGGCAAAGCATAGTTTTCCATTCAGTATTTTCACCAGTGTCCACAATAAGCTCAATTCAAATACATTTCTTTAGAAATTTGACCATTACTGCTTTTGGAGATCTTTTTAATTAGGTGGTTGGCTATCTTTATTGTCAGTTTTGATAATAGAGAAATGATTGAGTGCTTCATTATGTGAGAAATGTGTTATAATGATCATAAAGGAACCTGTGTATGTGATTCTCACCATGATTAGGATATTTCTACATTTAGTAATGGTTATTTTAGTTTCGGGAGTTTCGGGAATATAGTTTTGTTTCAAATGCTGCATAATGAACTTACTGTGCTCAAGTTATATACCGTATGATTAACTGTTCTCCTTTAAAGAATGACAAGAAAAAAAAAGTTTTTGTACAGATCTCAAATCCTGTCGAATCGTAACGCTCATATCCATAGATTTTTACCTTAGAGTCCAACCTGTTCATCCACTATTCAGGTCGTTTTCTGGCCACCTATAAAAAGGCTAGTGATACTGAAATATCCATTACTGACAAATGTCCTTTATAGGCAACAAAGTCACAGAGACATCATGGAAAATGACGCCGTGCCATCATGGAAACTAATGCACATACAAGATATATAGACCAGTGCTGTACTATTGCTGATGTGCTCTGCCATTAGGTCATGGGGTGCCAATTAAAAAAAATAAACTAAATAAGTTACAACATTGACATTAATATTGCTCTTGAATTTGATTTGCCTCGACCATATTGGAAATATATTCCCAATAATAAATAATAAATGCCATAACATTACGATCATGCTGGTGTCTAAACCCAACATTAATATTACATCATTACTGCAAAGGTCAAGCTTAAGGTGTTCTTGATACCACACTGAGTGGTACACTGAAATATTGGGAGCAGTATCTACACAGCTCAAGGTGTGTTTATTTCAGTATAATTATGCTTTGCCAGTATAAGGTACGGTAAACTACTGCATGCATATTAAACAGAATGCAATGAAAGTGTGTCAGGGAAGCAATGAATTTGGCAGGTGCACTGTTGCTGATTTGGAAATACGAGTGCGGCGACTCATCTGAAAATGGAGGGCACTCAGAAACAAAGCAGTGCCACAGAGGGTACACAGAGGCTCTAGTGTTGCTGATTATACTATGCCCTGCTGTGGCTCTCCATTACTCTAGTACTCAAGTGTTTGTGTTTGGATGCTGGGCTGGAGTACTGATGCTATCATACTGTAACAGTGTGCCTATCCATAGTAATCACAGCTTAAATTAAACAATGACATGTACAGTGCACACCCCGATTCTCCCTTTAGACCTCAGTCGGCTTTGTAGTCCTTTCAAGGCCATATTCATCATTAGTTTTAAAGTATGTTGCAGTTTACAAATTGGTCGTAGAGATTGTCTTCACATATATGGCATTATATTGTAAACCTGTCAATAATTAGGTTTTACGGTTTAGAAATGGATATATTTGCTTGACAGCACTAGAGCTAAACTGAAAACTGAAAACACCCAGTGCTGACTAAAAAATTAAATTTGTCGAGGTTAAAAACACACAAAATCTAAAAGCTTTTTTCAATCGTGATCCTTGTCAGAGAGAGGAAGTAAAGTGACGGATAGTCAAAGTCAGGCAAGACAAGTTAAAAACAAACCTTCAAAACTTACTTAAGATTGATTATTTAACAATTACCTGAAATTAATGACCAAGTAACAAGGAACTGCCTTCTTTAGATTTTTCTTAGTGAGACCTAACTTGGCTGATTGGATAACAACTCACAAAAAAAGTGCAAAAAAAATAAGAGGCAAAAACACTCTGATTTACATACTGTACATGAGCTTAACTAGTATCTGACTATACTTCATTTATACAATTATTCTTTCCACGAGTCCTTTAGAATTTAATTTTGGTCACAGAGTTTTCCTCAAAATGTAGTGCTGCATCCATCAGGAACAGGGGCGATGCCCCCATGATGTAAGAGGAAGACAATAACATTTTGAAAAGCATATACTCCCACTGTTGAACAGGCATCAATATGCTGGGTATTGCCATTCGAACATAACAGAAACTTCCCTTGGTCTCCACACCACGTCAGTGCTGTCACAGTTTACGTAACAAGTGCTAATCACTAATGAGAGAGCTGAACTCGTGGTTGGACGGCTTCACAGCCTCACAGTCTGTTTGGCAAGAGCTGCTTCCGAGATGAAGGGTGCTGGCATTTACCTTCTGCTGTAGATTCACAGAAGCTCATTGAAATGCTGTGGGTGTGCCTCAACATGACAGCATTTTGACTTGTTGAATTTTTCATTTCATTTTCAAAAGCTCCAAGCCGGCTAATCACTGTACCCCGCCCTCATATATAAAAAAAAAAAAAAGCAAGTCATCATTGTAATCATCATGTGCAGTAATTATACTAATTGTAATATGTGATCAGTCCTGGTTGCAATTATAACATAGATTTGATATTCCTTTTTCAATGCTCACTTACGCCTTGAGCACTGGTAGTGTATCTATACATTTTGGTTCTTGTGATGTAAATATAAAATAATAAAACAAGCATTCAGAATGCTTTGAAATGAGGTTATTTACTTCAATTTCCTTGCTGAAGGTGAACGGACAAATAACTGGAGGTAATCTATTCAAAAACAGTGTCACATCTAGCCTGTATTTTCAAGGCACTAACACAGCAATTACTTTACAATCATATTCCTCATGAATATAAATGCTTGTATCAATGCTATTGACAATAACCCTGTGAGAATAATAGCTTAGCCTGATGATCCACTGGGGTTCATTGAAAGAGGAGGCAATGCTCTTGAGAGATGAGTCATATTTGAAGTGAGAGTTTCGATATCATAAGAGCTCTGTAAGGATTCCAGAGGAATGACTGAGGGATTGCCTCAACACGGCTCTCAACATGAGCAGTAACGGGTGGCCGCTACGCTCCTGTAACGACGCTGTTGGTCGGTGATGGCGTTATCAGCTGTAACCGTCGTATGAGCGCAGTGCAGAGCGGCGGCCATTAGCTAGCCAGTAAGACACACAAACATGCACGTGCACTAAAAGGCACACGCGGCCAAACTGGCTATCTAACAAAGCACAGAGGAGCTTGGATAACAACTCACACAGAGGGAGAGCGAGAGACCGCACCTTGATCATTCTTATTGGTTCATGAGGGTTGGCGACCTCATGTAATTACAGCGAGGCTCCACCCAACTTCAGCATGAGTCTAATTAGTGGAAACACCTGTGGGTGTGCAGGGTGTTTAAAGATAGGGCACAACAAAAACAACCAGTAAAGTCAAATTGTGCATCCTATCATGCTGAATGTATAATGGCAGCACAATAACATACTGTATATCAGACATGCAGTAGACTGTTATACTGCAAAGTGCTGTCGGCCTTCTCTGCAATCATCTTTTCTCGTACGTGCACAGAATTCAGCTTCGAAGAACGCCTATGACACACACGAAAAGAAGCATTAGAACTGGCAAATCTTACTTTGATTTTCATGGTGTGTTGTGCACCACAGGTAAGCACTCCGCATGTTGGACTCAAGGAGAGAGAAAGACTATTGATCCGTGGTTAGTGGGCGAACCGGCCACAGAGCTCATGCTGTACCACAAGAAATAAAGTGGAAGCAGAAGTGATTCACTGGCCATTAACTTCCACACACGTTTTACAACTACAGGCCTAAAGAAAAGCATAACGTGTCAAAAGAAGAACACACTTATCAGACTTGATTCCTTTGAAGCCAATCACGTTATGCAGTCAAATAAGCCTCTCCTATATTCAGACAGCTCTATGTGAAGGAAATCTTCTCTGTACTTCTTTCCCCCTACCTTTCCCTCACTCGCTGTCTCTCTCGCTGCCTGTCCCTAAAATGTCCCCGCTGGGGATTCTATCTCCTGGTTCCTTTTGAAGCAGTGGCCTCTCTTTGCCTCCATTATCTTGTAATTTGTGAGGGATTACGCTCTGGAGCACACGCAGTCCACCCCGTTGCTTAAGAACTGTGACAGCTTACAATAATTGCCATGCTAATTAGTGAGAACTAGCCCAGTGTGCTTCTTTGCCTCACCAGACCTGATTTGATGAATATGCTTTGATTAATGTCTGCAGCAGTGTTTCCATAACTTCCCACCCATTATAATTAAATATATAACCAATAATACGGGCTGACTAATATATGTTGACAAATAAATGTAGAGGCTTCTGTTCTGAAGAACAAACAGAGAAAACTGCCACTGAGAAGGTTGTATTGAAGTTTTTACCACTAGGAAGCCGTTATTGCAATAAGACCACTACCTTTTTTTTAAGTTGATGACAAATTAAATTGTAAAAATCCTTTGTAAACTACAAAGTCCCATAAATGTCTCTTGTTTAATAACTTGATATTCCACGATTTATCCCTGTTTAATATTGTTTAGTCAAATACAAACCCTTCCAATCTTCAAAATCTCTGTTTGCTGCAAAAAACTATTTAAAACATTGACAACTTTCACAAACTCTAACGAGGCCTCTGTTTCACTTTTCAGGAAAATTAACATTCTTTCAGTATATGATGCATTCATCAGCTATATGTGTTCATATATAGATATATGTTCTTGCCCTTTTTGGTACCATCATCGTTAATATATATATATATATATATACAATTATGTTAGCTTAGTTTTCTTTTTGGTCATTTTGTCTTTTCCTTTTTTATTATTCTTTGTTTATCTCCTTAAGCTAAAGGTAGGTCGTTGTAGAGGTCTGTGGCTTCCTCTTGACCTCTCCACACACATGCAGTGAGCTCATGTGTGTGCAAAATTAAAAAAAACAAAAGAAAAACACACATCCCTGGAGTGTGACGTCAATCCTGATCAGCTAATGGGTCGAAAAGACCACCTTTCACCCATAATGCATCTCTCCATTGATATAAGCAGGCACTCCTTTCAATCAACAGCATTATAACTGTATGTAGAGCCTGGCGCTAATTAGAACCAACAAGCAGATATGTTCATTAAAATTTAAAAGTCTTTTTTCTTCCCCGAGCATTGTGCGGTCCACATGACCTTGTCTGTGTAAATAAATTAGAGAGCTAAGATTGAGCACATTTTCTCCTTAATAGCCAAGACCAATAGACCTATAGTATTATAAAAACACAATGATTCATTGAACCGCCAAGGCCAAACATTGCTGTTTTCGTCAATGAGTGCTTTTAGCAAAACCACCACCTCTACGTTTTTAGTAGTGAATGTGGGGCCTGGTTGGCAAAATTGTGAAAACCCTTTATGAATAAGTACTTACACATTGAATTAACTACATTACATTTGCAAACATTTGCTACAAAGATGGTTGTTGTTTGTTTAGTTCCGTCTTTGTCAGAGCAGTTTGTCTTTGTTTGGCATAATTTACTAGACCTGTTTCCCTTAATTCCTTGTGTGTTCTGACAGATGCATCTACAATTTAGGTACCACTGTGTTGGCCTGTTTTGAGCTCTGTTGGTTATCTCATGAGACTTTATAAACTCACATAGGGCTGATTTACAGACTTCTTTTCCTCTCATTTTTTCTGCTGTTACTATCTAAACTCAATCCGCTGCAGCATTGTTTGGAAAAGTGATTTAGTTGCTTCAGCATTTAAGTCCTATCCCATGGGGTGTTTATCTTATTTTGTCTATCCCTTTGCAGCTCTACGGGGTATTAGCCTGGTCTATCATCGAGGTTCCTGAAAAACAGAATCTCTCTTCTCACAGGTGCTAACTCGTCTTTGAAGTCCTCGCTGACACCTATTGTACTTTTATTATGACGTCCCATAACCCTCTCTGCCAGATGCACCTTCCTCAGGGTACATAACTGCTTGAAGTAAGAAGGGCCTTCAAAGCCACACACTCAGAACTGACCTTTACCACAAAAATGTCTGAAGCTATGTTCTACATAGAATAGAGCTCAAAGTATCCAGGAGGGATGACCTTTCAAACACAAGTAAGATACAATTAGGGTAGAGGGTTCAAATGTGGCTTTGATGTGAGGGTTTCTGTGGGGCTTTTACCCAAACATCCTTACTGTCTCTCTGACAGAATCTGAGACAATCCAACTTGTACTGACATTACCTGGTGCAGCAAATACTTCCATATAGTGTACAAAAGAATAATTAGGTTTCAGTGAGGGGTTCTTCAGCACCGTAAAGTCAAGACCAACGAAATTCCTAGAATCCCATATTGACACGTTGGAGTATTTTATTTCTAATGTAGCTGAAATGTGGCACAGAATTGGAAAAGTATTTTCAAGGGACCAAAGGGAAGTATATTTTATATGGTTAAGATACAATAGGCTACCATTATTTATAAGGTAACCCAAAATGATCACAACCCACCCATGCTTTTTACGAATACTTTATAAATGATTTATTTATTGCTGTATAGTATTTGTTTGCTTGCTTGCTTGTGTGTGGTTGAGGGGGACACTGAACTGTCTGAGGGGTGGACTTATATATAGTCCCTGCTCACCTCTTTAGCGGCTGCCTGGTCACGTGATGGCCACCAACGTATGTGTCAGCTGGTAGACATGATCAGATTTCGGCTGTGCAGTTTTGGGTCCCTCGACTCTGGCTGGATAGTTGGGTCAAGTAAGAGTTGAAAATCCTTACTTCATTTCAGTTCATGTTAGTTAGCAAACTAAGTTAACTTGCTACTCAGTGTTTCGTCCCTTTGGGAATGTTGTGTTGCGCGGTTTTAAAATCACTTTCCCCTCCACACTCAAGCTAAAAGAAAGAAATAAGACGCGCGCGCTAACGTTCAGTTAATTACCAGCAAACAATTAGATAAATTCGGTCCTAAAGACGTCACGTCAACATGCAACCGATGAGCTATATTCACCTTCTCTTGTTGTATTCGTCTCCGTCTAATAATACGCTTGTTGTCCCCACTGTATCTTGGACAGGCATTCGCTTTATTATTGGTCCAAATGAAGTGAAGTGGTTATGGAGGCAGACACACTTGAGGCAAAGCTTTTACTCTGTGCTAAAGAGGGAAACTGTGCTGATATGCAGAGGCTCCTTGAGTCGAGAATCAACCAAAGCAGCTCTCTCAACGTCAACTGCAGATGTAAGTGAAGTCGCCATTACGCGCCGACTTGAAGGACCTCAGGTGCGCGCGCGAGGAGAGCTCTCATGTTCCTTTCTGTCCCTGTAGCAAAGTCTAAAGCCAGCTCAGGATGGACCCCCCTCCATCTGGCCTGTTACTTTGGACACAGGGATGCTGTGGAGGAGTTACTCAAGGTGCCAGTTGTTCATATTACTCTGTATATGTCCAGTGCATATTTGCAGCCAGGGAAATCTGCTTATTAATATATTTTTGCAGGCAGGTGCCGATGCAAATTTGCAGAATAACATGGGTGACACACCTCTACACAAAGCCGCATATACTGGAAGAAAGGTAAAGAAAAACACCAAACCATTCCTTCCCTGCTCATTCAGGCCTATTATAATGAATGACAGTTGCTGTCTGCCAAACTAATTTCATCTGGAGTCACTTTCACAGACATTGACGCTTTTGATTGATGACAGTTGATGGTCAGATTTTTATTTTTTCCTTGCTTCAGGAGATCGTTCTGTTGCTGCTGCGGTACGACGCCTGTTCCAACATAATCAACGGAACTGCTGAAATCCCAAAAGATGTCACAGAGGATGATGAAGTCAAAACAATGCTGGAGGGTATGAAATGATGGGAGTTTTTATTTATTTTTTTTGTTAATTGCTGATTGCTTCTCAATACTGTAGATCAGCGGCTCATGTTCTCAGTAAGTGTTTGATTTGTGCAGCTGCAGAGAGAAGAGAGACAAGGCGGCGGGAGGAGAAGCTCCTGGAAGCAGCCAGAGAGGGGGACATCACCACTCTGTCTAAACTGGTTCGCCTCTGACCTTTCTATGAATTTAGCTGAATACATAACACTTCGACAGCATCTTTCTGACTTAAAGACTACTTCTATGTAGATGAGTTCCCACTGCAGGTAGATGTGTAAAAGAGGTTATTGTCTGTGTCTTCTGCTTTGTTAAGTTGTCTTCTGTTCTTCAGCTCAGTGGAAAAGAAGCTCCAGATATTCACTGCAGGGACCGGGTTGGGAACACGCCCTTACACTGTGCAGCCTACAGGGGGCAGAAGCAGTGCATTATTAAGTTGCTCAAGTCTGGAGCCAGCCCCAGTACTAAAAACAACAATGGTATGTCACTTAACTTTGAACGTCACCCTTTTATTATTCTGACTAATTTGTTTGCAATCGTGAATTTAGACTCACAATTTGTTTTTAAGGAGTACGTTCTTATAGATACTGAGGTTTCTTTCTGCTATTTTTGATCCTGGGTATTATATGGTGGTTTATTGTTTGGCTGATTGTTTTGCAGACCAGACAGCGTTAGACCTGGTCCGCAGCGATGACCTGAGACCGACTCTAGCAGCCTATCAAGACAAAGTAAGAGCAGATAAGTCATTTATTATCACCCCTGTCATTATGTGTGGTTGGTACATGAATCACGGTACAATAGCTCATTTTCCCGTCTCCTTATTTTTGAAAAAAATGAAAAAAAGAGTGCTTGAACTATGAGTCAGTGTATTAAGTCAGTCTATTGAACTAAACCATCAACTCTACACCGGATTGCTTTTAAGTTTGGTATTTGTGTCCTGGTCCACAGAGGATGATTCCTAATTATTTTGGTGATCCTTTGGCCTCTCCACTATCGCCCCCCCCCCCCCATTGGGTAGCTCGGGAAATCTAATGAACAGATTTTAATGAAGTTTATTCATGTTTCCCAGGAGATTAAAAAAAAAAATCCAGTTTTGGACTCTCTTTGATTTAATCACTTTCTTTTTGTACTAAATGTCAACTGTTTTTGTGTCTAGCACCTAAATCACAGAGTGGATGTTTCAGGCATTTTCTCTTTTTGGAAAAAGAACTGTCCCAAATATAGGTGCACGCAGCTGTGTGTCTGCATCTTCTCTTTTCACTATCCATGTTCCCTTGAGGCCCAGTGACTGCAGAAAACACCTTGGAAGCCAGCGGTCCTTCAGAGTCCAGCTCTTATTGGATGACTGATAAGCCTGGCACAGCTTCAATTTAGAGCTTTGCACAGTCATGGTGGAAATTAAAGAAAGGCACTAGCTATTAAGTAAAGTAAAAGATATATTATTTACCTCCTGATACTATGCAGGTTTCACTGTAATACACAAAACGAAGGTTAGTTCTATAAGTACATCGTGACCAACCACACTGGTCCTGACCCACTACAGCTTAGTCACCGCAGCCCACCTACTTCTTCATAACTCGTCATATGCTAGTCCCAGCCAGAGAAGCGTTTTGCAAATCCAAGTCAAGTCTCAAATCGTATAGCTAGAGTCCAAGTGAAGTCTCAATTGTTTGGTCACAAGTCCAAGTCAAGTATGTTATGATCGTTCTATTGTTTGGAACACCGAATAGCTATATTTAAGGAATTCCAAGCACATGCTGTATTATCATCACTCCTTTATCTATGGGCAGTATCAGTATTATGCAAACTCTGATACACCTTCAAAGGTACTCGTATTCATATCAAATGAGAAAAAAAACAAAAAACATTGAGGACATAATTCTTACATTTTTAAAAGATAAATATAACACCAAGTGTCCCTGGTGCACTTTGAGAGCAAAATTAAGAGGCTACCTCTATAAAGAACTTGTAAACAATTCTAGATATGAAGGGTGATGACACGGCCAAAAAGTCACACCCACAAAGCTCCTTCCACTCTGAGCCACCGTCCGAAGTTAGAACTGAGCTTAGTATTTCTGATCTCAAAAACCCTTCAAACACTGTCAATCAGGCTGTGTCTGTACACAAGTCTGAGAATCATTGTTCTTTTCCCCCACAAAGGATGAGAGCAGCGGGGTGCAGAAGATTGAAGGCCATCTTTGGAAGGTACACAGATGTTGAAGTGTATTCTTTTCTACTCTTAATATGTCAGGCAATGTTTTTGTTCAGACTCGTCCAGACTTTACTTTTTTCCCTTCAGAGCCTTTATCCGTTATTGTACTGTGGTTTGTATTTCATGTCTTTAAGTGTTATCTGTGAATGCTGACGTTTATTTTGGAATAATATTAATAATAATAATAATATTTCTTGATATATTTACAATATGTTCTATTTATACATAGTTTGTCTGTTCTGGACTTCATGTGTCTGTGACAGAGTTCACGCTTTTTTGGATGGCGCTCCCACTGGGTGATCATTGAGGATGGAACTCTCTCCTGGTATCCCAAACAGTGAGATAACTTTGTATGTATGCCGTCTTCCTAATCTGTATGCAGGCTGTTTGTCAGGGTAGAAGTTTCTTTCTTGCTACTCCATCACTCAACATTTGATGTCCATTAAAAAAAGCCAACCAGACGATGCCTCGTCAGCTGAATCCCGTTTCCTGCAAATATTTCTTGTTTGAGATGGAGGCATCAAGATTAGTTCTTCAAGCTTTCAGTGAAAACAGTCAATTTAAAAAGTGGCTACTTCTGTACTGTATGTACATTACTTATGTGCTCTCTCATCTGTTTCTCTACACAGGGCAGATGCAATGGCTGGTGCCAGAAAACAGGGCTGTAAGTCCCTAACACAAGCCTACTGCATGGTAGGTACGAGACATTACAGGCTCATTGTAATTGATTAACCTTCACGACTATACGTGGTCGTCCTCCGATCTTTCAGTTGTGATTACATCGTACTTGAGATGCTGATGTTTGACATCTAGTGCAGCAAGCGTGACTGTAAGTCATTTAATTCTCTCGTCCTAGGTCAAACCATGGGATCATTGCTTCTTCATGCTCAGGTGCTTTGATGACACTGTACATCATTTTAAGGTCTCCTCAAAGACAAATTCAGTGGCAACAAGAAAAGTGAGATAAGATTCACCTTCTATGCTGTTGCTTCACCCCTTCCCTGAACAACCTGACTGATTTGACAGTCAGAGTATCTGCAAGGGTGGGACGACATTAGATGTTTCTGATATTTGTCCACACAGAGATGGTTGGATGCCTTTGAGGCACATTCGTCCTATAGCACATGCCACTGCACCGAGGAACAGATTATCAGCCATCCTGACGGTGACGGTGACGTGACAGTGAGGAATCTGTCACAAGCCCTTCAGGTAAGATTAAGTTTAGACCCTTTTTTAATGAGGTATTTTATTAGCTGACAGTAGGAAGGAAGTGCTATTTAGGGAGGAAGGAGGGTTCAATGTGTAAGTGTCTCTCTCGTCCTGTGCCCTTTCAGGCAGCCAGCGCTTCCCAGCAGAAATTGGAGAGTGAAGCGTCGATATTTCTATCGATGGTGAAGAATGAGGAGAATTGTGGTAGGAGTCCTGGAATTGGGCACGTATCACTGTTGTCAATCCAGTGTTCACTGTTTAAAAATATAGTCATCAAATTAATCAATTTTAAAGAATAAACTTTAGTTGCAGCCCAATTTATACACATGCATTGAACATATGTATATATGTTTTTCAAAAGCGCTGGCTGCCCCTCTGTTACTGAAAGCCAAAGAGACCAGTGAGCTCTCCAGTGAAACCTGTGCTGCTCTCCATCTGTGCCTTGAACTGCTGTCAAAACAGGAGGAGGTAGGAAATATCTTCATTATCTTTATCAAGCCTGTATCAGCATGTTGAGCAATCCAACAAACGCCACACAAAATGCAGTAGCCTTTGGGCTATATTGTCCACCATCATACCATTCCTAACAGAACCATAAAAACGTGGTATATTGTGTTATTAAACACTGTATTATTGTGATGTTTGTTATGAATGTGTGAACATTGTTGCTCTTGTGATGCAGAAATTTGACATTTAAATTGGATCTACTGTGCGATCCTCTACCCATACTACCATATTTTGTATGCCAGAAAAAGATTTAGTATGTCCCAGTACATTATTATATATGTCAGACGCAGTATGCCAAAAATGCCAGGATGTCCTACTGCATCCGGTCACATTTCGGTTTGCAAGTCAGCAAGTTTTTTTGGGCTATTCTGACCCACAATCACAATCTAAAGAGCAATGTTATGACGAAGTAGTGCATACAACAGTAAATACTATGTAAGGGTAGCTGCAGTATGTACTTAAAGTAAAAAGTATGCAATTTGAAACTTTGCTAAAATCTAGTTCTCGGCAATCTCGCACTTGATTTCATTGTTTTGGAGGCAAGTTTTCTTTTTCGATTAGCTGCAACCAACTGAGCATGTATGAATATTCTTCTCATTGATTCCCGTACCCTCACCCACGTGCTGTGCTCCTATTGGCTGAATAGATAATATTGAATGATTACAAAATCCCAAAGCTCCTCCTCTTTATGTTAGTTAATTCATACCAATCAGGTTTGAAGTTTGTGTGTGTCCCTGTCCCAATGGCTGTGCTGTGGGTGTGGGTGGGGGGGGGGGCAATGGAACACTGTGGAAGGACACAGGCAAGATCCGCTTTTATGCTTAGGTCTGCATTCAGCTTGCAGATCAGCGTAGACACGCACACACACACACACACAGACACCCCTGGACTTGGATCCACACACTCCCGCTCTGGGGGAAAGGCTGTGCATTGAGCAAAGCAACTGAAGCGCGAGCATATTCACAGGCTCAGCTGGCGATGCATGCATTAACCCTCACACAGTGAAAATACACGCTTGCAGGCACACTTCCACATGTCAGAGCATCCGAGCACAGGAGAAAGGGGAGACGGTGACAGCATACTCGTCCAGTATCTGCACAGGTACAAACAAAGCAATTGTTCTTTTAGTTTCTTCCTGTATCTGTGTTTTGTTTTTGTTATTGTCAGCTAAACAGCTGTCTGTGTATGCCGTGGGCTGGTCCCTGATGACTTACTGCAGTGTTAAGTGTTTGAAGTTTGGCATGGACTGGATGTCATCTGATGTTTCTAGTATGTTGCTGGCGAGAGCTATTCATCAATATGCGGAAGTCATTCTTATGGATTCAAGTGTGAAATTGAGCATGTTTGAAGTGGTGCTGAGCGCGACACTGCTAATTGCATCTTTTTGCTGAAATCATTTCACAATGTCATAAATTCTGTCAAAGTAAGAGCACGGAGAGGGAAAGATTAAATTACATTGAGGATTAGTTTGATATGGTGGCGCTCAAAGTCAAGCTGTTAAGAAAAAGATTGTGGGTTTAACCATTTTAACACAGCAGTCGCTCTTTTGTGTTTCACTGTAATGCAACACCTAAATTAAGAACTGAGATCATGAATCCGTCTCACTCTTTTTTTTTTTCCCTCATTACCAATTCATTTGAAATTGGCACTTTGTCAAAATACCAAACTGAAATCCTTAGACTGTGTCTATTGGTTGGCTGGTTACAGTATAGTGTGAACTACACCTCTTGTGTTGTAAATCCATTAGCAAAACGGGAATTAAGATTATAATATGGAGATTAAGGACTCCTGGTGTGTGTGTGTGTGTGTGTGTGTGTGTGTGTGTGTGTGTGTGTGTG